ATATAAAACGTGAATTTACCACATCACAAGAAAAGTTCAAATAAAAATTCTCACTTAAAATTTTGAAAACTTAGCGTTGCGTCTTTGCACGTTCCGATATTGTACACAACCGTCAATAATAGCACATTCTCAAAAATAAAACATCTTTCGGTCTACAAAGAATTATTTCGTCTTCAAGTTTTTGATTTTATAAGGAAAATATATGCCTGACGATGAATAAAGGGTTATTCGAAAGTACTTCATTTAAAAAAAATATAAACTGGAAACAACAGACAACAGTTTTATAAATGAGGATCACATCATTCTATGGATTAACAGTATTTTAATGCATACATTATACACTACTAGCGATGGATGTCACCAATAATAGCATTAATATTACTGATTGATTCTATGCATGATTATTTCTTTATATATATATATATATATATATATATATATATATATATATATATAATATAAGATAAGATAAGATAAGATTTTATGTTTTGCTCTACTTTGAGTATTGAGCACTTTACGTAGTTGTCTTTTTACACGTTTTGAGGGTTTTTTCTTGTGACTCGGAGATTGAACAGTGGAATATTTATTTCGCTCGTTTCTTATTCCTCATTTTATCTCGGGTACCGATTTGTTCTTCTGCAAGTCGAGCTATCCAATGTTTTTCCAAGCGAGTACCGCCATTTATATATATATATATATATATATATATCATACTTATGATAAAACACAGATTGTGTGTGTGTGTGTGTGTGTGTCTGTAACGTTTATATATTGGATCGGATTTCCTACATTTTTCAACCGATTTCAACAAAACTTCACAAGACTACGTAAAATTACCTTGCGGTGGTTCTGACAGTGCCAAAATCGGAAAAATACAATTGTTTTTGCACGAAATCAATTTGAAAACACGATTAAGAGTCATCGCGTTTTCGAAAATGAAAGCATGACAACTCATATCGAGTTATACTTATAAAATCCAAGTTGTTTGTGTGTGTGTGTGCGGGTGTGTGTGTTCGTTTATATATGGTATCGGATTTCCTACATTTTTTCAACTGATTTCAACAAAACTTCACCTTTTTTTGGCAGATAGTGTTTCTTATTGTCTTGCACACTTTTTTCTTTATTTTTACATTCAGGATGCTGTAAAAAATTCCATTTACAAGACAATTGTTTATAATAAAATTCTATTCAATCGGTAGACTCATAACGATTGAAATCAATGTTTTTGTTTGAGTTTGGGTTTGACCAATTCGTAAAAAAACAAAAAACAAAACAAAACAAAAAACTAATTAAGACATGCGTGTCCGTCAACCTTAAACAATAATCTTTGTCAATTTCATTTTTCAGTCTTTATGATGATCGATACTTGATCTATCTCTTACTGTTACATCCCCGGGCAACGCCGGGCTCTACTGCTAGTATAAATATATTTTGTGGGAAGAAAATATTCGTACACATACAAATTTTAATTTATTATATTTCCAACTAATGAATAAACATACTTTTCATATAATCATCTGTACACAGATGCATAATAACTAAAACAGAAAAAAAATTATAAATCCCATTTATCGAATTAAATGAGTGAAAAATGTATTCGTACAATACAAAAAAAGAATACATAATATTCATTTAATAGCCATTATTCACTTATACAGCAACCAACTTTTTTGTTCCATTCTTCTTTGCATATGGTCTTCAGATCCGGGATGTTAGTTGGCGTTCTCGATTGGATTTGAATTTTCAAATAACGCCATAGATTCTCGATTGGGCTTAAATCTAGGGATGAATTGTCCGTTGCAGGATATTTCCATAATTTTCAGCAAGCCATTTTTTCGTATATTTTGCAATGTGCTTAGGATGAATTAATTTGCTTTCAAAATATTTTGATTTGCTGCGGCATTTATTCGAGCATCTATTACTGATACGTTGTCAGTACCTTTTGCAGAAAAAAAACATCCCTAAGCTATGATACTGCCACCACCAAATTTCACTATTGAAACTGTGTTCTTTTGTTTGAAGGTATCGGCATCTTTCCTCCATATATGATTTCTAGAATTACGTCCAAACAACTCAATTTTTGCTTCGTCTGTCCATAATATTCTTTCCCAATATGATTCTCCTTATCCTCATGTTTGACACGCAGACTTACACTATACCTTTCTGGCCATAGATTTAATTTGAATATTCATGGATACTTACCGGGCACTATTCATAATATGCTTGTTGACAACACAAATATAATAACATCATCTACATGCAAAAAAAGGCTAAAAATAATGGAAGCCTTATTAATAAAAACAAAAAAAAAAATTTAATAATATTAACTATAAAAATGGACACGATATCTTGACCGTGTTTATATATATATATATATATGTGTGTGTGTGTGTATGTGTATGTGTGTGTGTGTGTGTGTGTGTGTCTGTGTGTGTGTCTGTGTGTTTGTGTGTAATATATATATATATATATATATTAATAGTAATACTCGGTTGGAAAAAAGCTCGGATAGCACAACTTGTAGATATAGCAAAACAAATTGGTACTCGAATTCATGAAGAGATTTCTATTTTAAACTTAAACTATGGCGAAAATGTCCAAGATTTAATGAAAAATACATACACTCCTTATAAAAAAAACCAATACCAATCCTTTACATATACACCCTAAATAAAATCACCCCCATCTATAATTAAGCATATACATTTTTCTATCCGAAAAAGAATACGTACAAATTCAGCAAATGACAAGATTTTCGATGAACATATTAATTTCTATAATAAAGCTCTAAAAGATAGTGGCTACAAAAACCCAAAACTAACTGGAAAGCATAGAAAAACAGAAGTAGAAAAATAATTTGGTACAAACCCCCATACAACCAAATGGTAATGAACAAATTAGGACAAAGTTTCCACGCATTAATAGCCAAGCATTTTCCTAGTGAAAGTAAACTAAGTAATATTTTCAATAAAAATACACTAAAATTAAGTTACAGCTGTACTGAAAACTTAGAAAAAATTATTAAGAAACATAATGCTAATATCTTAAATAAACACTTAGACCAGAAACAAAGACATTTAGATAATAGAAAAATAAAAATAAAAACAGAAGAAGATAAACAAAATTATGTAACTGTAGAAACCCTCACAACTGTCCTCTACAAAATAAATGTCGCACGGAATCATTAGTATACCGATGCAATATCTCTTCTATTGAAAATCCCGAAAACATAAAAATCTATATAGGTTGCACAAGCCATGAATTCAAAAAGCGTTTCAACCAACATCAAAGTTCCTTTAGGATGAATAAATATAGAAATCAAACACCTCTCTGGAAGTACTTCTGGCACCTGAAAGAATCCAATAAAATACCTACAGTAAAATGGAAGTTAATAAGAAAAGCTAGAATATGTAGGGCATTAAATGACCCATGTCTTTTGTGCATACATGAGAAACTATATATTACTAAGTTTATAAAAAATTAAAAAAATACTGTATCAGAGAAATGAAATAGCTATTTTGTGCCGTCATTGTCAAAATTTTTCCTTAAATAATATTTAAAAATAAAATTAAAAAGTGCGACCTGGTATTATACATACTTATATTAGATGTGAAAAAATAATTTTATATACTGTAAGAAATTCTATTACATTTACTTGTTTTATATAAAAAAAATATAGTCTATTAAAATTAACTGTAAAAATATTTTAAAATTGATTTTAAAATTGTAGTTAAATAAAACGAATTCTAACCTAAACATCTTTTAAAATTGTAATTAAATAAAACGTATTCAAACGTAAACACCTCTCTCAAAGTACTACAAGCTCTTAAAAGAATCCATTAAAACACCTACAGTAAAATGAAATTAATATGAAAAGCTAGAATATGTAGGCCATTAAATGATCCATGTCCTTTGTACATACATGAGAAACTAGATATTACTAAATTTATAAAAATAAAAGTGTACTAAATCAGAGAAATAAATTAGCTATTTTTTGCCGTCATTATCATAAATTTTACTTAAATAACATTTAAATATAAAATATAAAAAAAAATGTCACCTTGTAATATACATACTTATAGTTGATAGGAAAAAATAATTTTACATACTGTAAGTAATTCTAATACAATTACTTGTTTTAAAAAGAAATATAGTCTATTAAAAATTAAAAGTGAAAATATTTTAAAATATTTAAAAATTAAAAGTGAAAATATTTTAAAACGTATTCTAACCTAAACATCCACAAAAACCTTTGAGTATACAAATAGAAATATGCCGGAAGAATTTTTGCCGTTAACAATAACATTTTATAAAAAAAAAAAAAAAAATCAAGACGACATGCATTTAACGGATGTCAGAATTCGTTGAAAAATACATCCCTACACCTACCTAAACATAATCTTTTTTTCAAACGTAACTAATAACTGATACAACAAAATTTAATAAAATGAACACGCAACCACCCCTTGTCTGGATGAATGGATTCCTCTGTATCCTTGGAAACTGTATATTATGTTTTTTGCCGTGTCATTAAAACCCAGTAAAATTAAAAATAAGTTAGTCCAAAATTCGCTTGAGGATGAAATGGAACTAATATCTTTAATTTAATTACAAAATTAAATTCGAATCTTTTAGCTTCCATTTTGATATATATATATATATATATATATATATATATATATATATATATATATATATATATATATATATATCGAGCCGAGTTCGAATTCCAGTCGTACTAATACGCTTAGGAAAGGTATCAGTCCTCTTCAGCAGCCCACGAGCTATAGGTAAAAATCAGGACAGTTGGATGGCAATTGGTCTACTGCAGAAAGAAATGGCAACCTACTGCGGGAAAACATCTGCCTCGTCAGTGATGTATTGAAAGATACATGATCGCCTAACTGTGTATCATATATAGCACATAGCTGACTGATTGTTTGACTGAATACCTAAAAATATGTTCTACGAGCAGTACAAGTTTAATTAATCTATTAGAAATGCCTAGAAATGTAAGTTGTAAACTTTTGCGTGCCACTCTATCTATCTATCTATCTATCTATCTATCTATCTATCTATCTATCTATCTCGGTCTGTCTCTTTGTTTATCTCGGTCTTTCTATCTCCTTCATTTCGGTCTGTCTGCCTACCTCAGCCTGTTTATCAGTCTGTCTCGACCTTTTTTTAACCTTTTGTCTGTCTGTCTCTCTGTCTCTGTCTGTCTGTCTGTCTGTCTGTCTGTCTCTCTCTCTCTCTCTCTCTATCTATCTATCTACCTCGGCCTGTTTATTGGTCTGTGTGTCTCTCGTTCTACATTTCGGTCTATCTGCTTACCTCAGCCTGTTTATCAGTTTGTCTGTCTCGGCCTATTTATTGGCCTGTCTGTCTCGGCCTGTTTTTTAAGCTTTTGTCTATCTATCTATCTATCTATCTATCTATCTATCTATCTATCTATCTATCTATTTAGCTAGCTAGCTACGTCTCTTTCTCCATTATCGCATAATGAATGAGACATCATAAAATTAACAACTTTATTTCTAACTTTATTATTTGGGGGCGACGAATGCCATAATTATCTTTCTTGCAAGTGAGATCATTCTAATTTGGCAAGGTTAATTCTAATCCATCGGATTCAAAATCTGCCATGCAGCCTTCGTTTTCTCCTAACGAATGAAATCTCCATATTTAATCAATGTTTTGATCTGAAGATGGCTTTCAAAAATCTATCCAAAGAGTGCCATGTTCCCGAACATCGAACAAACAAAAGGTTATTTGCAGACGACCTCCATTATGTTCTCCGTCGTGTCTTTTCACCCTGCATAGGTTAAAACGTTTCTAAAGGCCATCATATGACTACGTGACCTTTACACCCGATCGGAAACTGCCAGTTGGACACTTGTTTAAGCGCTGCATTCATTTCGTTGCTATATTCGGATCTTTCCCAACCAGGATCTTCAAGGAACTACGTATGTACCTAAACAGAAATAAATTCACTCGAACGTGTATTTATAAGTATTTACAAAGCTTCAGGTACTTTATAACATGGCCATAAATATCGGGGGACCAGTTAGGATCGTATTTCTGACAGATGTATTTGCCTGTTCGATCAGATTTCGGTTGACCGTTTCCTCAAGCGTAAGCTATCATTGTGAAGATTATCTGTGTCTGGTTGTAGTAAGATTATTGTTAGTTGGAGGATTGTTGTCTGTTTTTCTTCATTTTGTTGGTTGGAGGATTGTTGTCTGTTTTTCTTCATTTTGTTAGTTGGAGGATTGTTGTCTGTTTTTCTTCGTTTTGATTGTCTGAAATAATCGTTCATATCAAGCATTCGCTTTGCATGTATTGCTGTTGCTGCTATTTTTCCTAGTACGCCTTGTTTGCTTGCAGCTTTGATGAATTTGTCATCAGCTTCTTCTGTAGTTATGTCTTAGTTTTTCGTAGTCAAGATCGAGTTCGTTAGCTATTTCATCTAGTCTTGCTATACCTGGCACGTGTCTTACTCTATCTAAGTCTGTTCCTGGTCCTGGGGAATTGTGACCTGGTAGTGTTAAATCCCACGGGTTTTGTATTTTTGCTTTTGCGGTTTTCTTGGTGGTGGCATAGCGAGAGGTTTTCGTTATTGTATTGACTTTATATATAAAACGTCGGTTCAATTAAAAGCCATCTCTTTAACTCGTTAAACTGAAGAAATATATAAATCCACCTTAGTATAATGGGTCTTTGAATACATCACGAAGGATTTTACTTTAATATTTATCAAATGACGAGTCAAATTTTTATAATTATCTGTGTTGTAAACTTGTTAAACTGAAGCAATATCTAACTCCACCTTAGTATAGTCGATGTTTGAATACACCACGGACGATTTTACTTTAATATTTAGTAAATGACTAGTCAAATTTTTATAATCAGTCAAATAGATTTCTAAAAAAAAAACATTAGGTAACGACAAGAATTTTCTGGTTTTAGACATAATTTTTCTGTGGATTACAAACACGTGGGTGTAGAGTCATCACTGCCTGAAATAACTGTCGCAGAAACATATGCAAAGATCATTGTAACATACTTGCCTATTGCTTAGGAGATTAAAAAAATAGTTGTGGATGATCCAGGATTATCGTAAATCAACGGACACTGAGTCGATTATTCCTCATTGCTTTAATATTTCATTGAAAATTTCCATTATTCATTCGAACAGCTTCTTCCTCATAGCTGTTGACTTATAGAACTTGCTACATAGTTTATGTTTCTCTGATCACTTCAATCTTAATTTCTACAAGACTAGGGTCAATCTTTGTCTATCCTACATATCCTCATTAAATGTACCTCCTCATTACGCCCGTAGAACAACCACATTTAATCAGCTCAACCTTGATTGACTCTTGGTAAGTAATATATTGGGTTGTCAACTAAGTTCCCGCCGTTTTTTTCTTAATTTAAATTATTTAAAAGGTTTAATAAAAAAATAACAAATAATTAATCAATAATCTATTCTCCTCTGTTGTTTACAACTTTTTCCCAACGTTCAACAAGATTTTCAATACCTCGTCACCCTGTTTTAGACTCGAAAAATTCATCCAACCAAGCTCTCAATTCTGCATCAGCATTGAACGAAACACCGCGCATAGCATTCGAAAGTGATCGAAAGAGGTAGAAAACCTTTGGTGCCAAATCAGGAAAGTACGGCGGGTGTGACATCATTTCTCAGCCATTTTCTCTGCAAATTTCCTTGTCATTGACGAGAAATTTCGTGCAAAAGTTGGTTTAATAGCTCTTTATCGAACACAACTGGATGTCCAGAACGAGGTCCGTCTTGAGGTCCAAATTTCCATTTTTGAATTTGTCATACTAATCACGAGCGGTTCTTTCAGTTGTGACATCCTCTCCATACGCAGCACAAATGTCGAGAGCAGATTTTGCAGCCTTAAAACCTTGATTAAAAGCAAAAAGAAATATGCGTCGAAAATGCTCATTTTTATTAATTGCCATTCCATTTTAATGAGCTGAAAATAAACAGAAATTAAATTAACTAGAACAAAAAAAAAATTGTAGATTCCAAATTGATACCAAAATAGAATTCTAGAAAAAAAATACTTTCTAAAATGCTTCCAAAATCGAATTCTCGAAAATAAATAGTTTCAAAAATGATTCCAAAATAGAATTCTCGAAAATAAATAGTTTCAAAAATGATTCCAAAATAGAATTCTCGAAAAAAATTCTTTCCAAAATGATTCCAAAATGGAATTTCCGAAAAAAATAGTTTCCAAAATGATTCAAAAATAGAATTCTTGAAATCAAAATACTTTCCAAAATGATATCAAAATAGAATTCTTGAAAAAGAATACTTTCCGAAATGATTCCAAAATAGAATTCTCGAAAAAAAAATAGTTTCCAAAATGATTCCAAAATAGAATTCTCGAAAAAAAAAAAAATTCAAAAATGATTCCAATATAGAATTCTCGGAAAAGAATACTTACCAAAATGATTCCAAAATAGAAATGCCCGAAAAAAAATAGTTCCCAAAATGATTCCAAAATAGAATTCTCGAAAAAAAAATCTTTCCAAAATGATTCCATAATAGAATTCTTGAAAAAACATAGATTCCATAATTTAAAAAAAAAAGTTGGGAATATTTGTTCATGTTTGAAGTTTTTAAACTGGATCATTCTTTTAGAATCCAACCACCCTACTTCACTGGCGATGCGCCTTTCTAAGAAATGCTCAGTAAATATCCATTCTTGAGATGGAATATTTCTGATAATAACATGGTTTCTATGATTACACCAAAAGTCAGCAGATGTTCTGAAACATTTCAGCTATAATTTTAAAGGTAAGAAGTAAAAAAAAAAGAAGTGATAAAAATACAAAAGCAAAAAATAAATTCTCGAAATTAAAAAGAACAAAAGTTAACCCATCGTTACCAGCGCGTAATGTTTGAATAACTCACAGAATATTTTCTGTAATATTCAGCATGAGGTGAGTCAAACTTTACTCATGAGTGGAATTGTTTTGTGAAAATCACCTGTCTTGGTTCTTGTTTAAACTATAAGCGTTTCCGAATTTCACTCATCTGAACTTAAAGTAAATAAAGCCTGTAATAATTGTGGTAGAAACGCATGAAAAATTCCAATTACATTCTTGTTTATTGCATGGACTGTTAAAGAAATATCACAAGATTCATATTGATCATCAATTCTTTTAAATGATGAAATGCATATCAAATGATTGGCACCTTGACGTGGTTTAGTAGTTAGCAAGCTTGTTTTGTTAGAACAGTTACGACTATGGAGGGATCCATATTTTCGGCCTTGTGCCACATCTAATCTGCGCTTAGAAAAGTACTATAATAAAATGAAAAATATCTTTTTCAAATTCACGCCGGCCTCTAAGCTCGATTTTTCGGAATAATCCTTTCTTTTTTATTCATCCTAAAAGACAAAAACGAGCATTGGAGAAAAATATATACTATGAACTAAATGATATATCTATAATGTTTTAGATGGGGTCCTTGAAAACCCATTAGTAATAAAGCTGCGACAATGCTCCATAGGAAGGTTACATATTGGGGAAGCCGAAAACTTTTGTTTTCGTTGTATAAGTAAAAGAAAAGTACTGCGCTTCGTCGACTTACGACCGTGATTGGTTACGTCAAATAGGTCTTAAATCGATCTGGTCGTAAGTCGGTCTGTAACTAATTCTGTAATCTGTTTATCTTTCTTTAGTCATTATTGCACAGTATTTTTATGTTTTCTTTATGCTTGATACTATATGTATCATCTTTCTACACATTATTTTGTTACTTATCTTTACGTTCGTCAGGTTTAAGTCAAACGGAGCGTGTTACAGTAGAACTGGCTTAATATTTGCATCTTCATCGCCTTCATTTTTGATTTCGAGATCAATAGCCTTTCTTTCGTTCTTGGCAAGTTGTGGCGTAGACAAATACTATTTCTTTTTGGTAGACATTTTGAAGAACAATTTCAAAGATACAAGCAAACTAAGGGGAAAGTGTGTTGTACCGAGGCCACCATAACATTGGGCTTGATCTTTTTTTCTCGGCCAATGAATGCTCATCGTTTTCTTTACTAACGCTTGTGCGGAAATTGTCGTACACCAATTTAGGAAACGCTCACGCTAAGCAGCCGTGGTCAGACGAAGAGTAGTCGTGCCCAGAACGCGGAACCGTCGTGGCTAGACTGTCAGATATACCACTTCGCAATCGTGGTCGTAAAGTGGAACAGTTCTAAGTTGCATAGGTCGTAGATTGAGAATGATCAGTACTTTTTGCATTAACTTTATTGAGCCTCATATTTCCATTTTTTTAGCGTCTTCAGTCATCTTTCAGTCAACTTCGACTATATCTTCGCATTCTTATATGTAATTCCAAGATATAATAATGAAATTCAGCATAGGAGAAAAGGAAATTAAACATAAAATTCATTGTGCTATAGGTACTTTCTATAATTACTACAAAATAAATAAAAAAAAACATGGCACACGAGACATGTTCTTAAACAGCCTTAATAATCTTTCTTACAAATGTCATGCATGTCACTAAAATCCATTCAAAAATATATAAACTCTCAGCTTTATACAACGTCTTTCTCAGATCGAGGCATAAAATGGTTTTGAGCAAGTAAAGCCGAACATTATACAGACTAGCGCGATATAACCACAAGCAAAAATATGTATTATATGAGTGAAATCATATTGAAAAAATCCTAACTACTTCAAGATATTGATATTCCACATTATTTTAAATAAAACTTTAGAAAGGAAAAACCCATCAATACTGAAATGAATGATAACAATTACTGTACTTGGGAAATCTATTTTCTTCACAAACTGTTTTAAGAGAAAGATTTTATAAATTCCAACCGTCAGTAGTACTGGCTTCTCCGGAAATGAATGTCCAATGTTTCCTTATAGGGAAACGGCTAATATTACCATTACTACAAGCAGCAGCTGCAGGTGTTATTCATTTGAAAGACTTGGACTTGTTTTATTGAGAATACTACGGAAAGCATAATAAAGAGTAAACAAAGCGTGTAATATCTGCTGAATATGGCAGAAGAGTGAAACCTTCACAACCAAACAGTAACATTTTTTTGTCTGGTCATCAAATAAACATGCGTCTGTCATAAACTTGATGGTATATTACATGACATTTCTCTCTGTTTACCAACCTCTCAACAAGGCAAGATGTGGCACAAGAACAGTTTTAACGTGGGGCGTTCCGAGCCCATAGGCTCTGGCAAAAATTGGCCGTAGGTCTCGTATACACGGGGTCGGGTTTGTCTACCTCCCCAAATATGACTCTGCCCTTAGGCATAGCCTCCTCTGGGTTCCTCTCCACCCGGAAGCAGAGCGTTCGAAAGAGAGGAAGAGAAAGCCTCCTGCTCGTTCTAAGAAATTTACTGCAATTTGTCAAAATCATTGCACTTTCCAATAAAATAATAATATATATATATATATATATATATATATATATATATATATATATATATATATATATATATATATATTAATGTTTATAAATGTTTACACAAAAGACGTGCCTTCAATCATTCTTGACAAACAATAAAATTTGTTTTCAACCTCACTTGATGAACAATAAAACATCTCTACCATACTTGGGAAAAAATTTCTTTCGACCATACTTAACAATCCATAACATTTTCTTTCAGCCACATGAGAAGAACTATAAAACTAACTCTCATGCATAATTGACAATCTTTCAAATATGTTTACAACACTTTGGCTCTAAATGACCCACAAGAGGTTGAGAGGACGTTAAACACAATAAATCAATCAATCTCTAGAAATTTTCGAAGTTTTTTATCGATTGATTTACCGACCAAAATGGTGGTAGTACTTGTACAAATTAGTCGTTTACTTCGGAAGGTGCCCTTAGACTTACAATCATACTATATAAACATATTTTTTTCACGGTTGTGTTTTTATTTTGTTTTGTTTTTTACCCAGCAGACTCCAATTGTGGAGTATAGGATCAGAGTTTCACCACTTGATGCTTTGGTGCTGGGGTCTCCATAGCTAGTAGATATTTTTGAATGGTTGTTTGTTAATTTTCCTTGCATAACCTCTTGCTCAATCACTCCTATATTGATGTCGTTGAGTTAAGTTTAGACGGCAAATCAGCATGAGTTAATGAGTAACGAAGCTAGTCTGATTGATCATTAATAGTGAATATTGAGATCGATCTTCTCTGGGAACCCGCGTACAGAATTCAACATTGTAACCGAGCAAGTGTTGACATATCGTAAAGCCAAAGTAACCAAACACGTATTTAAAAACAATAGTTCCGGGAAAGAAAACGAGTGAGAATCATTCTTCCAGATGGACTACAAAGAGGATGAGAATGATTCAACCCTGTGTACGTAGTATGGCGGTTCGTAGATGTAAAGGTCTGAACTGGCAGAACTACGGAATGTAGATCATCTGAGCCTTTGACACAGTTTACTTCTCCAGCAGACCTGAAGCAGACGTCTGATTCAAGTTTGTTGCTACCTACTATAAAGAAAAACAGAAGTTTTTTTACAGCGCCTATGTGGATGCCCAATCCTCAATTTCCAGCATTGACAGATTTCAAAAGCGATTACCCATTCTTGTGGGTGATTAACTATTTTCATCCGAACAGACCTTTTTTTCCCTAGACGATTATCCACTCACTACTCATTCCTTGTTACCATGACAAATGCTAAGACGAGCTACAGTACATATGTACATGATACAAGTCAAAAATGATTTACTGTTTTGTTGGGTAAACATTTGCTTTAATAATCGCCTTAATTCTTCGTGACATGCTATAGACTAAATTCTTAAGTAAGTTAATGTTCTTCGCCAGATTTTTCCTGCATTCCTTTAATTCATGAAAAGACTCTTCTTATGTGTTAACTTTCCTATAAGAGGCACGCTTGTCCATTGTAACCCAAACGTTTTCAATTGGGTTAAGGTCAGGGCTGTGACTAGGCCACTGGAAGAGTTGTAATTTACCCTCGTCACGCTTCCTCTCTAGATAATGTTTATTCTTTAAAGCAGTTTGCTTAGGATTGTTATCATTACTAAATCATTTTTTGACTTCTATAATGTACCATTGTACATATGTATTAATACCTTGTATTAATAAACGAATTATATTACACACTTGTCTTGATAAAAATACAAAAATCGTCTCTCTCTGGGTACGTTCATTTTTTTTTTTTTGCCTCGTACTGTACATTCCGGTGTTTCACAAGTTCAGACCTTTACACCTAAAAGCCGCCATTCCATGGGCACTGTCGAATCAAATTTCATTCTTATTCAATTTGTAAGAATCAATCTCCACTCATTTTCTTCACCAGAACTATTATCCGGGAAGAAATTTCCTCGAACAATACGATTTTAAATTCTTCAATTCTACAGTCAATCGATATTTATCCTACATATCCTCATGATAGGCACTTCTTACTCCCTTCCTTTACGCTACAACAACCTCATTCACTAACCTCGATTGGTTCCTTTTTCTACGATTTCTCAACCCTTTGCAGATTATTTAAAGCCAGACAATATTTTTCATACCGTAAGAATTGTTTTGAGACAATAATGATGTAGTGATAGAAGATTTATTAATTAATCCATATCTGGGGGGAAAAGAGGTAGATTCATAACTCTCACAAATGTATTTGCCCGTAAATGAATATAAAGAATTCAACGGGAATTGGAACATAGCCCTCCGATTAAGGATTTTGCGCAATTATCCATTACACCACCGCACATCCAATCTTACAGTGCATGGTATTCCGAAGTGATCACTCATCTAGGTACTGACCAGTCTCGACTTTGCTTAACTTCGGTGATCGTACGGGAACCTATGTTTCAACAGGATATGGTCTTATGCCTCACAACCCATGTGTGGTTGTTGGGCCTTGTATTTGGTGAACAACAGGATAAAAATAGAAAATAGTTGTAGAATATGTTTTAGAGTGTTTCCAATTCCATGCAGATATGGATTGCGGAAAAAAGCCTTCATATGTGCACAATGGCTCGTATTTCTTACCACCCTCACTCACTGAACAACGGATGTACTTACATGACCTCACATGTGGAACGATGTTTCGTAGGTCTTCTGTTGAAATTTCCCTCTTGGAAGATGGCTTAGCAGGATTAAGATTGTATTGTCGATTAGTAAGGTGACCAAAAGTTTGTTGGCGATATGCAAAATCTATTCAAGTTTTATACATTTTGAAGTTTAATTTAGTCTGACATTTTCACTGCATCATATTTGGTTGGTTATGTGTGGACCACTGTCTTTGTACCGTAGAACGCAACTGAGGAAAATTATACTGAAGAGGTGCCCAGCCCTGGGGAACAGCTGCCCGAGGCCGAGCCCTCCCATTGCACAAGAGAGAAGGATCAGTGCTCGCACCGAGGCCAGCGCAACCGACGGTGGCGTGGGCTGAGGGGAATTTTTGCCCCTGCCCGAGTGTACGTTCTCGGGTCCCCACATTAATCCGACCTTGTGTCACATCTCATTCTCGTGGGGGAATGAGTAAACACCGTACCGTAGAACGCAGAGTCGGTTCCGTCGAAGCATTACATTCCATGACCTTCTTCAGAAAAATGTACTAATATTTCAAATGTCTCTGCTTCTTGCTGAAAATCAGATTAGCAGTCTTTTAATCATGAGAAATATTTTGTCTTTGGTATTGTTTTCTGTCTTCTTTGTATCATGTCTAGAATCTCATTTGTCGTCCATTCGTTTTTTCTTCTTCGTCCATTTTCCTTTGGAGTTATCCCGTTTGCTGATGTCACTAAAACTAAGAAAGTGTTTCCCACTTCGAGTTTCCATATCTATTTTGTTCTTTTCGTATCTTCTTTTCACACTGTCTATATATTTTTCCTTCAGGTTCAAGTTGCTCAGTAGTCTGTTTCGGGGGCTGCGTCAGGCTTCTTCAGTTTCCGCAGTTTCATTCTTAGTTAACATATAACAGGGAGATGATTGCTTTCGTAGTCGGCACTTCGACATTCCTGAATTTCTTGTTGATAGTTGTGCAGTCGATTTTGTTTTTTAGTTTCTCTTTCTGGGTTTCTTCGTGTTCATAACCGTCTTGGATGTTCTTGGAACGATGTGTTGGCTATTACCTGATCATTCGCCGTGAAACATTATACCCATTTTTCTCCACGTTCGTTGTCAGTTATTTCACCACTCGTCTCCTTGTCTACTTTGGTATTCAGGTCTCCCATGAAAATTATCAGTTCTATGATTTATACTGAGCCTTGGTATTGTCTATCTGTCTGTAGAAAGTAGAATTGTCTATCATGGAGTAGAAAGATTCGAATTCTTCATCCGTTTGTGCTGTCGGCGCATACGCAATTATAATAGATATGTTGAAAGGCAATCCTTTCAATTTCACTAGAAGAATTCTTTCTGATAACTGACAGTATCCCAGGACGCATTTCTTCATATCTTGATCTAGTATCAATCCAACTCCTTTTTTTTTCATTTTTCTCGCCGCCTGCATATACAGGGTGTTTCAAAAAATTTGATATCATTTCGCAATTTAATAACTTTGTTAGATCTCCTTCAAATGACTTCAAATTTTAATAGCATCTTGCTTAATGTTTGTTTTATGTTTTTATGTCTTTATGTTTTTGTGTTTTTCTTATTTGTATTTTTATGTTCTTTAATCTTTAATCTTTTTCTTTACAGGTATAAAAATGCCGTGTCTCAGGCGGTGTGCATATTGAACATTTGTGAAATCGTTCACATAATCCACATGCTTTTGAATTTCTCATTCAGATTTGGAAGAATAAATCTTATGATCTTCAACATTAATACTTTTTAATTTCATTTGCCTTAATCATGTACTTTCTGTGATATTTACATCTCAAAGGATATCAAATTTTTTGAAACACCCTGTATAATTCCTGGTTGTCACTGATAAAATTTCCGTTGCTTAGCGCCTAGTTTCACATACTCCTAGAATGATGACATTTAACTTATTCATCCCCTGTTTTACATTTTTGTAACTGTCCGCAGTTGTTCAACGTTCTAACGTTCCATATCCCGAGAGTTATTTTTTGTTTGATGAGGGAAGTCGCTGGATGATCCGGTGAAACCTGTTGCGCCTTTCTGGGCGAGGGATAAGTTCCGAGGAATATTATCCCCTTTACGCTGTTTATGCTATCAGTTGCTGGACGACGGTGAGATGACCTCTGTTGCACATGTCGCTTCTTAACGGGCCCGGAGATGATTTGCATAGACTTAACCCCCATCACGCCGTTAGGTTTCATATTTAGTTGAATAAATGCCATGATATTTCTTTGGATTGATAGTGTAGTGGTTCTTCGCTGCCTTCTCCACGGTGGTTTATTGAGACACCACCTCTAGTTAGCTGGCCGTTGCACTCGTCGAGTCTTCTTCCGCTCATTGATAGGTCGTATTATTCATCCTACTGGATTGCTAACCCGCCTCACTCGCCAGAACCTGGAGTGGGATAGCTGATTTAGTCCTTGACTCCCTGACAGTAGCATTCATACTTACCTCTCTCTCTCTCTCTCTCTCTCTCTCTCACTCTCTCTCTTTATATATATATATATATATATATATATATATATATATATATAATATAATACAGAAAAAACAAACAAAAATCTTAATATGCAATTATGCTGTATTAATGTTAATATAAAGTCAACGTCGGACGTTTCGGTCTTTTTTAGACCATCTTCAGGACATTTTCATTAAACATAATTAACATTAGAGCATATAAAATTCACCATGAAAAGACGATGGACATAAGAGCACAACTAATCCAAACAGATAACTGAAATTTCTATATAAGATCAGCGTTCCGTTTAAATATGATCACGTCGTCGTCACGTGGGCGATGTTGTGATTAATATTAAAATATTAAAAAAGTCGATTGAACTATTTTATATAAACAGTTCATGAAATCCCTTCCGTTGATATAGGAATAATGTCCTGAAGATGGTCTAAAATAGACCGAAACGTCTGACGTTGACTTTATATTAACATTAATACAGCATAATTGCATATTAAGATTTTTGTTTGTTTTTTCTGTATATTTTTCTTCATACTGTCGGATCTATATCCATATATTTGCTTACACACACACACACACACACACACACACACATATATATATATATATATATATATATATATAGTAGAACTCGCTATGAAAAACCTTGGATATATCGGCTTGTAGTAGAACAAACCAGTGCCCCAGGGATGAAGAGGAACAAAAAAAAAAAAAAACAAGAACATGAAATTGAGGCGAAAACAATCGTCCAGAATTGAAGGTCAGAGTTTAAAGAAAAAAACCCTCCAAAACGAGTAAAACAAAAGCAACATACTTAAAATGCTCATTACGCTAAGTAGAGCAAACCTAAATATGAACCTAAAGAGCCCGGTAAACCTACCTAGGTTTCACCTCAACGGATCGTGAGGATACAACTGAGCCAGTTTTACCCTATCGATCCTTTTAGGTGAAACCTAGGTAGATTTACCTGGCTCTTTAGGTTTATATATATATATATATGCACACATATACACCGACATAAACATACGCACGCGGGTGTACGACAAAGCACGCCAAAAGATATGGTAATGAGTTTGATCTTCATTGGGAGACCCATAAAATATTCGGTATTCATTAATCAGTTAAGAAAATGGCAACAAAAGAAAAGTGACGAGAGAAAGTGAATGTTGGTGATGACTTTTCTACTCACAAACTTTAACTTTGCTGAGTTAATAGATAAATTATTGCTGGTCATTTTAGTATAAGATATATTGTTGGTCATGTTTGTAATAAAAATGTATTGCTGGTATTTTTACTATAAAAACAAAACATCCCACTGTTTTTCTCACTTCATTCTCCATGATGATATTTTCTGAGTGATCTGGATGGTTGAGGACAAACCGAGACTGTATTTCGTGCCGTTACACCCCTGATGGATTCTGTAGATCTTTGAAATATTCTTTCCACCTCTTAATTACCATTCTCTTCTCATGCAAAGCTTCTCCGTTTTTATCGTGGATGACGGTGGTGGGGGTCATAAGGCTCATCTCGCACTCTCATTGCATTCACACTCTTGTAGAATTCTTTTGGTGAGCTCTTGCATTTTTGACCATAATGGCTTCATGAGTTTTACTTTTCCCATCGAACGACAGAGGATCAAGTGGTTTGGAGACCTCACTCATATGCCTATCAACCAATCAGCCCTACGAGCATACACCCACAGGTACTCTGGCTGGAAATTGACCAAGAAGACACTGAAGCGACTCAGTAGCAGAAACTCTTAGAGTCCACGAGATATCTCTCCTCCAGGCCACACGCCTTGCTGCTGACAGAACGGTATCTCCCTCCGACGCCTAACAGCACAATCTATAGGAAAAACTAAAACAAAACTAAAAAAAAAACAAAAAAACATTGTGATTTTTGTTTGAGCTTTCACTATTTAACCATAGCTGGGGACTTAAAAGATGCTACCACCTCAGGTTAGGATGAACCTGGGAGCAAAATAATAGGTGGTTCAACGCTCCTAAAATACTCTAATCTCTTGAAAAGAGGCATTGCTGATGGATGTAGTTTCTCGTCATACCTAGGAATATTGGGCATGATGGTATTCTTCAGCGTCCTCGAAATTTTGAAGTGAGGCCCTTGTTCAGTCGTCAGTGTTCATCTATTGCATCATCTCAGATAAGGTCCTCTGAACAAGAATATATTGATTCTACCACCTGACACAGAGAATTGATTCAATTATGCCATTGTCCTTCAAGACATTCAGATTGTCTAATTGTCAAGCTTGAAGCCCAATGTCTCTTCTTTGCTGATCAAAGTCTTATCGGATGAGGTTTTTATCAAT